AATGACAAAGGTATGACATAGGTATTACAAGGAGAAGGTGACTTTTCAGGACATTACCCCATGTCCCCACTTTTCAAAACGCTTATAAATCACACAGAATGGAGTGTATTGAAAATCTGAAATAGCACAAAGTTTCCTGTGAGGGGTAGGTTTAGGGGTAGGGTTGGTGTAGGGCAATAGAATATACGGTCTGTACAGTATAAAAACCATTACGCCTATGGAGAGTCCCCACTTTTCACAAATGTAAACCTGTGTGTATGTGAGAGTGTGTGTGAGAGTGTGTGTGAGTGTGTGTGTGAGAGAGACAGAGAGAGTGTGTGTGTGTGTGTGTGTGTGTGCGTGTGAGTGTGTGTGTGTGAGAGAGACCGAGAGAGTGTGTGAGAGTGTGTGTGTGTGTGTGTATGTGTGTGTGTGTTTATATCTGCGTGTGTGTGTGTGAGAGAGACAGACAGAGAGAGAGTGTGTGTGTGTGTGTGTGTGTGTGCGTGTGAGTGTGTGTGTGTGAGAGAGACCGAGAGAGTGTGTGAGAGTGTGTGTGTGTGTGTGTATGTGTGTGTGTGTTTATATCTGCGTGTGTGTGTGTGAGAGAGACAGACAGAGAGAGAGTGTGTGTGTGTGTGTGTGTGTGTGCGTGTGAGTGTGTGTGTGTGAGAGAGACCGAGAGAGTGTGTGAGAGTGTGTGTGTGTGTGTGTATGTGTGTGTGTGTTTATATCTGCGTGTGTGTGTGTGAGAGAGACAGACAGAGAGAGAGTGTGTGTGTGTGTGTGTGTGTGTTTATATGTGCGTGTTAGTGTGTGTGTGAGAGACCGAGAGAGTGTGTGTGTGTTTATATGTGCGTGTGAGTGTGTGTGTGAGACAGAGAGTGTGTGTATGTGTGTGTGTATGTTTATATGTGCGTGTGAGTGTGTGTGTGTGTGAGAGAGACCGAGAGAGTGTGTGTGTGAGAGTGTGTGTTTATATGTGCGTGTGAGTGTGTGTGTGAGAGAGACAGAGAGTGTGTGTGTGTGAGAGTGAGTGTGTGTGTGAGAGTGAGTGTGTGTGAGAGAGTGAGTGTGTGTGTGAGAGTGAGTGTGTGTGAGAGAGTGAGTGTGTGTGTGAGAGTGAGTGTGTGTGAGAGAGTGAGTGTGTGTGTGAGAGTGAGTGTGTGTGAGAGAGTGAGTGTGTGTGTGAGAGTGAGTGTGTGTGAGAGAGTGAGTGTGTGTGTGAGAGTGAGTGTGTGTGAGAGAGTGAGTGTGTGTGTGAGAGTGAGTGTGTGTGAGAGAGTGAGTGTGTGTGTGAGAGTGAGTGTGTGTGAGAGAGTGAGTGTGTGTGTGAGAGTGAGTGTGTGTGAGAGAGTGAGTGTGTGTGTGAGAGTGAGTGTGTGTGAGAGAGTGAGTGTGTGTGTGAGAGTGAGTGTGTGTGAGAGAGACAGAGAGTGTGTGTGTGTGTGTATGTATAAGTGTGTGTGTGAGTGAGAGAGTGTGTGTGCGTGTGTGTGAGCGTGACATCTGACCTCTGTGACTGATTAACTGTGATTGTTGTCTCATGAGACAATTCTGAAGGAACAGGGAAGCTGCCGTCGCTTTGCATGCTGGGATTTCCGTGTGTCTGATGATCCTCCAGATGAACTGCGGCGCAAATTAACTCTAGTCCCGGATTAAAGCCACGCGCTAACGGTTATTCTGCCCAGAAAATCCTTCCTAATCGAGCACGAGTCCTAATCTGAGCCTTCTCAGCTGATCTGACGGGGGATTGTGGGTACTGTGCTTTCCCATCATGCACTGCAGCTGTGTGTCTGTGTCTCCTGCAGAGAGCAGCCCATCTTCAGCACCAGAGCGCACGTCTTCCAGATCGACCCCAGCACCAAGAAGAACTGGGTTCCCACCAGCAAACACTCCGTCACCGTGTCCTACTTCTACGACAGCACACGCACCGTGTACCGCATCATCAGCCTCGACGGGTCAAAGGTCAGCCCAACCCCGCTGAGCTCAAACATCAGTCCCAGTCAGCTTTTAGATCCATGTTTCAGTGATTGGGAGCACTGTACAGTCTCGTTGGTTAACATTAGTTAAAGGGATCGTTCACCCAAACACACAAATCCTGTCATCATTCACTCTCCCTGTTTGAGTTTCGTTCAGCAGTCGAACGCAGAATCAGATATTTTGATGAATATTGGTAACCGAAGAGTTGCCGGTAGCCATTGACTTCTATAGTATGGAAAACACACTGAAAGTCAATGGCTACCGGCAACTCTTCGGTTACACACATTCTTCAAAATATCTTCTCGTATATTAAACAGAAGAAAGAAACTCATACAGGTCTGGAACGTTTTTTTTAACAGCATTTGTTAATGTTTTGATAATGTTAGGTCACAGTGCATTGGTTTTAACAAATACTACTGATGCTAAATAAAATGTAGAAACTATAATTTTCTGTAAAGCTGCTTTGCAACGATTTGTATCGTGAAAAGTGATATGCAAATAAACTTGAATTGAATTTCAAAAGTGTTTACTTTAATAGTCTTTGTTTTTGTTAAAAAACTATTTTTTTTTTAGAGTACATTTTACAAGAAAATACGATTTCAGTTTTATTCAGTGAGTTCCTCGTCATTTCTTTGTAATTATCTGTGAAATTTACTAGAAATTTAAGAGTAAAAATTCTTTAATTCTTTGTGTAGTTACCAAATAAATCAGTATTGTACAGAGTAATCTGATTGTTTAATGACGGTTGTTTGATGGTCACATGCCATGCAGGTATTTTCAACATTATATATTTATTTCAATATGACCTTTTAATGATTAATTACTAGCTTTTCTTCAGCTCATGAAGCCCAGTTTGCAAAAACCTTCTTCTTTGAGACGCTTGAGAATTCACCCTTCCACACATAAACCAGAGCAGAAAGTCTTACATTTAGGACATTAAATGTTGCATGCACTGCAAACAATGAATATCTCCTCAATATTTTCCAAGTTTTCATTAAATCGTGACACATTTACTGGAGGTGCAGAATGAACACAAATCTTGTTTTCTGAGGCACTGATCAAAAGTGAGTTTATGCTGAAAACAAGCATCAACTTCTCTTTGAATTAGTTGTGTTGTTCTGCACTCATTGGCAGATATTTGTTCTTGTCTTAGTCATAAACTCGCTTTAATTTTGGTGAATTTCTTTGTGTCTCCTTTTATTTTCTCCTGAAACTGGAATGATCTTGTGTTTCCTGCAGGCCATCATCAACAGCACCATCACCCCCAACATGAGCTTCACCAAAACCTCACACAAGTTCGGTCAGTGGGCAGACAGTCGGGCTAACACCGTCTACGGCCTGGGCTTCTCCTCCGAGGCCCATCTGAGCAAAGTGAGTCCGGACCGAGACCCAGCTTCTGTCAGATCCCCGTCCTCGTCTCCTGACGCGTCCGTGTTGATTTCTCTCTCTGCAGTTTGCTGACAAGTTTGCGGAGTTCAAAGAAGCGGCGCGGTTAGCCAAAGAGAGATCTCAGGAGTTAACCAGCTCACCCTCACAGGTATAAACCGCACTAAACCAGCACAGACCAGCTGTGTGTGTGTGTGTGTGTGTGTGTGTGTGTACTTCAGACTATTGACATCCTCGCTCGCTCTGTGTCTCAAGCGCAAACCCGTCTCGTGTTTCCCGCGCCTGAAGGTAAGGAGATCATCCGTCAGAACATCCTTAAATCCTCCAAACCCAAACAGAACCCAGCCAAACCGGCCCAAACACTCTCCCGCTGCACTCTGATCAGTGTTGATGAGTACAGTGTCTTTTCTCTCATGATGTTGTTTAATTCTCTGAAACGCACAGATTCGGACACCAGTGAAGGTAAGGCTTTCATCTGTGTTGCTCTGCTTTACTCGTGATCAGTGCTGTATACGCATTACAAGTAACACGAGTTACGTAATCAGATTACTTTTTTCAAGTAACTAGTAAAGTAACGCATTACTTTTTAATTTAGAAGGAAATATCTGAGTTACATTTTCAAATAAGTAACAGCAGTTACTTTGTTTCCATGTATTGAGTGACAGCTCTGGTGTTGCCATGGTGACAGAAATCAGGAGTAAGTGTTGTGTGTGAACATGATCTTACTGTAGTTCTAGACTAAATATGAACATGTGTTTACTCATCTCACTGCACACAAACACAGTGTTCCTCACAATCTATAAAAACAGTCAAATGCAAACTCAGAATATGACGCAAACCTGCAATAATTAAATATGTTAAATAAGACAAATATCATTTATGTATTTAATCCCATTTTATTAACCAATGTCTTTGCTGCTGACCTTCAATGATCCAATTTAATCATACTAATAATCAAAAATGACACATTTGTATATAATTTTTGTTATTGCTGAATAGTGTTGAACTTTCTTCTCCTGCGTCATATTCTTCATGTAGTTAGTTTGAGCTGCGCCCTCTACTGTACAGACGTGAATTTACATTTCCTTCAGCCTGAGGCGCATTCATTCCAGTTTTGGTGTGAAAGAGTATTTACATTTGTTTTACAACTTCATGTTAAAAACAAACACGCAAGCCCTGCCCAGATTTAAAAAGTAACTCAAAAGTAACGTAACGCATTACTTTCCATAAAAAAGTAACTAAGTAACGCAATTAGTTACTTTTTTAAGGAGTAACGCAATATTGTAATGCATTACTTTTAAAAGTAACTTTCCCAGCGCTGCTCGTGAGCGTCAGATCAGTGTTGTAGGATGTGAAGCTCTTCTGCTCGTCTGTGAGGTTTCATCATAAGCAAACGTTCTGCAGATTCGTCCTGCCACAGAATAACACGTCTGTCCAGAAACACTTCATATTTACTGTAAAAAAAGAAAATTAGGCTTGCATTTTTGACATCATCTTTATGACTGTTAAACACATTTCCCCCTCAGTTCTCACTCGCTACTAGTGTTCATTTCATTAAAAAAGCTGTCATGATGATACATGACAAACCTTTTTCCAAACATCAACAAGACGTAGTTGTAGTTTAATGAAGAATCAGTCAATGTTTATTTATTAATTAAAAAACCAAGGTTGACCAAAATGCTGTACAATATAATAACCAGAGCAAAAACATGTTTGCGGTTGCCAGATGTCTAGAGTGTGACTCCCCTAAACAGAGCATCTGTCTTAAAAGGACACCTTTTGTGTGTTTTACTTTATCTTATCAACCTGGCAACCATTTTTCATAATGTAGTTTATATTTATGATAATATAATAAACCAGGAGACTAGATGAGGTTAAATAAAGCAGTTGACAGTCTCTTGATTTGTGCTTATCAGTAAAAGTGCAATAATTCTGATCAAATTCTGATCAAAATATCATAATCATGAGCAAAAGGTTAACTATTATTATGCAGAATGACTAACTATGTTTTAACTGACTAAAACTAGACTTTCAGTCAACTAAAACTTGACTAAACAAAAAACAGGACAGTTTGATAGAATAGGATACAAACTAACAGTCATCTGACAGAACTGAGACTAAATTAAAAACACAGCTGACAGGATTAACACTAAATGCAAAGCAAAACATTATATTATTGAAATTGTGAAATAGGTTTTAGTGTGTCTTGACAATCAGCTGATTTTGTGCTGCTTCTGAACAGAATGAGGTTATTTTATGTTAGGTTTGATCTGAAGATCTGCTTGAGGTTCTGTTGCTGTGATCGAGCTCTGCACCTGAACTGTGTTTGAGAACATGATGTTCTGTTTCAAGAGGAAGCCAGATGTGTGTGTTTCTGATCTGAATCAGGTGTGTTTGTGTTGATCGTGTGACAGGAATCAGCGATGGGCGACCTTCAGTCTCCTGTGACTCCAGAGAGCATCAACGGCACGGACGAGAGAGTGACCCCCGACGCCGCCTTCAACACCGAGATCAACGCCGTACTGTTCCCTCACAGGTCCACACAGACTCACACACACACAGATACACACACACACACACTCACACACACACACAGACACACACACACACTTACACACACACACACACTTATACACACACTCACACACACACTTATACACACACACACTCACACACACACACAGACACACACACACACTTACACACACACACACACTTATACACACACTCACACACACACTTATACACACACACACTCACACACACACACAGACACACACACACACTTACACACACACACACACTTATACACACACTCACACACACACTTATACACACACACACTCACACACACACACAGACACACACACACACTTACACACACACACACACTTATACACACACTCACACACACACTTATACACACACACACTCACACACACACACAGACACACACACACACTTACACACACACACACACTTATACACACACTCACACACACACTTATACACACACACACTCACACACACACACAGACACACACACACACTTACACACACACACACACTTATACACACACTCACACACACACTTATACACACACACACTCACACACACACACAGACACACACACACACTTACACACACACACACACTTATACACACACTCACACACACACTTATACACACACACACTCACACACACACACAGACACACACACACACTTACACACACACACACACTTATACACACACTCACACACACACTTATACACACACACACTCACACACACACACAGACACACACACACACTTACACACACACACACACTTATACACACACTCACACACACACTTATACACACACACACTCACACACACACACAGACACACACACACACTTACACACACACACACACTTATACACACACTCACACACACACTTATACACACACACACTCACACACACACACAGACACACACACACACTTACACACACACACACACTTATACACACACTCACACACACACTTATACACACACACACTCACACACACACACAGACACACACACACACTTACACACACACACACACTTATACACACACTCACACACACACTTATACACACACACACTCACACACACACACAGACACACACACACACTTACACACACACACACACTTATACACACACTCACACACACACTTATACACACACACACTCACACACACACACAGACACACACACACACTTACACACACACACACACTTATACACACACTCACACACACACTTATACACACACACACACTCTCACACACACACACACGGACACACACACTCACTCACACACGGACACACACACACACACACACACACACGCACACACTTATTCTGGTGTGAAATGAGCATCTGCATGTTGATAATGTGTTTATATTTCACGCACCGCCGTTACATTAAACCCTGTGTTAGACGTCAAAAACAGATGCAAACGCGCTTCAATCATTTCTCATGCAGAGCTCTTGAAGCCGTTCGCGTCTCTGACAATCACAATCACAGCGTTTGGCAGCGGAGCTTTACTGGGGATCATTTGATGTTTATTATTGTGGGATTCAGTCACATGATGTTCAGAATGAGTTTCTGCATCTGAGCGCTGGATGTGTTTTTTACACTCTTTACATGAAACGACTTTAACTCTTCCAGCTCCACGTCCATCAGCAAGCACTGGGAGGCTGAGCTGGCGGCTCTGAAGGGGAACAACGCTAAGCTGACGGCGGCGCTGCTGGAGTCCACGGCTAACGTCAAGCAGTGGAAGCAGCAGCTGGCGGCGTATCAGGACGAGGCCGAGCGACTGCACAAACGGGTCCGCTTCAGCAAACATAAACCAAAGACATATCACCAGTCTTTCAGATCCGCTCACTCATCATGCCACTAGGACGAAAGCTCCTTGCACACTGAGTCACAAATTTTCGTATGCGTTTTTTCGTATGCGTATTAATCCCTAAATTGAGTCTTCAAGCAGTGAGGATGATTTTGTTGTCCTTTCGCTTCTTAAAAAGACAAAAAGAAAGGAAATATTGGGTCCATCCAATCCTGAGATATAGAGAGGAAGGAGAGTTCCGCCAAACACGGGATTTTCCGGGTTTCCGTGTTTTCACGCTAGGGGGCGCTATCACGCATCTCCTGAATGAGTCTAGAAACTCTCGATCAAAAACACAGACCAGGAAGAAGCAGAAACGAGCAATCTCGTATGTAAGCATATGCATATGAAAAATAATGCGATCATCGACACTAACCGCATATAAATGAAAACTCTTTTGATATATTGCATGTTTGAGACAACAAAATATTCTGGGGGCCATGAAATTTCAGTGAAAATCAGCAAAAACGCTGGCAGTGGCTGGCAACTTTTTTCCAAAACGCTTGCTATGGATGCGACAAACACAGAAAATCGAACCCGATCCGAATTTTTTCGAAATTTTTTCACAACGTGAGGTCGTTATTATTTTTCAACGTGCAAAGATTTTGGACTCTGTGTGCAAAGACCTTAAATCTGCACAATATTGCAAAAAACAGAGATTGTGATGCATAGTTTTTCTGCAGCATGAAAATACAGGGATTTTTACCAGATGACTTCAATAGCTCTATTTGGAAAGAATGAATCATTCGAGAATGAATGGGTTGGAATTTGAAAAAAAAAAAAAAACTGAAATATTTGATTGTTCACACTTGAGTTTAATATTTAGAAGAACTAGGGCTGGGCGATATGAGCAAAAATTCTCTGTATTTTTGGGGGTATATTTGTGGTATATCCTGCCCAATATTGTCCAATGAAACAATGCATATAAAGGCTATGAAAAAACAAATAAAGTGAATGTAATTATGCAGGCATATATTATGTGCATATTATGGGTTAAAATCACATTGCATTCTAACATTGTAACATTGCAATCTAAAAACAAAAATAATGCTTTTACAGCAGAAGTTAAGTTCACTAAGCTAAAAATGAAAACAATAAAAAAGCACAGACTAATTGAGTAAAAAGGCTGTTTTGATTACCCCACTGTTGATTTTAGCATTAAAATCACTAATGAAAAAAACGCTAATTAAAGGAATAGTTCTCCCAGAAATGCAGCATTGCATCAGTGTCTCAGCAATGGATGCTCTGCAGTGAATGGGTGCCGTCAGAATGAGAGTCCAAACAGCTGATAAAAACATCACAATAATCCACAGCACTCCAGTCCATCTTGTGAAGTGAAAAGCACATTTTTATTTTTTAGTTAATTTTTTTTACTGCAAAAAATGATTTTCTTACTTAGTATTTTTGTTTTGTTTTCTAGTATAAATATCTAAATATTATTGAATCAAGATGCATTTCCTTTACAAGTAAAATGACTTCAGATATTATGTCTTGTTTGCCGAATTTTTTTTTTTCATTTTTGCTTAAAACAATGGGGCAAGAAAAATATTCTTGTTTAGCCTTTGAATTAATTACCCCATTGGCAGATATCTTTGCTTGTTTTAAGCAAAAATGAACAAAATGTTGATAATTCTTTTTAGAAAACAAGACTTCAAATCTTAAGTCATTTTACTTGTCATCTTGATTCAAAAATGTTTAGATATTTATACCAGAAAACCAGACAAAAATACTAAGCAAGAAAATATTTTTTTGTAGTGTTCGTTTCCATCAAAGCAAAGGCAGAGTTTCAGTAGAATGTTTTTCTGTATGGTCCTGTGCAATATAATGCTGAAATGATGATGATAAAGCACTGATTCTCATTACTGAAGCGAGCGGAGTCTGTCTGAATCAGTGAATCAGTAGTGACTCTCTGTGTGTTTCAGGTCACGGAGCTGGAGTGTGTGAGCGGACAAACCGCCGGCGTCAAAACACAGAAAACAGAGCTGAACCAGACCATAGAAGAGCTGGAGGCCGAGCTGAAGGCCAGAGAGGAGGTCTGAGCGCCACACCATCACTGCAAACCACCCATCCACTGCTTCACACAGGGCTGAGTGTGTTTATTCCCCACAGGAACTGGAGAAGCTGAAACAGGAAGTGGAGGAAGCCAGCCAGCTGCAAGCACAGAGAAATTCGCTCACTCAGAAACTACAGGTGAATATCGCAGCGTCTGATGATCACGATGCAGGAGACGTCTGTTAGAATGCAGTTACATGAGCCGAAAATTCAAGATATGAGCACAAAAATCACCCTCTTGTATTTGTATCCTATGATATAGTTTAGCAGTATCACACCATCAAGAGCGCTGCTTTTGATCAATATCTGCATGACTGCAAATGTGATTTATACTGTACAACAGGAACATAAACAAGAAGTGAATATAGTGTTTTAGACACAATGTCATCTGTTTTGCTCAATTTCACTAATGAAAACGGTTTTAAACAAAGCCACAGCGGATCTGTTGAGCATCAGCACATAGTGGTGATTTGTTTCTGAACGAATCAGGCGTTTGAATGAATTAAGTGAGTCAATGATTCAGTGACTCACTGATAAAGACAGTCAGTTGATTTGTTACTTAATAAACCAGCCATGTAAACAAATTGAGAGAGTCAATAATTCAAAGACGCATTCATAAATACAGTCATTTGCTTCATTTCTTAATAAATCAGGCATTTGAATGAATCCAGTGAGTCAATGATTCAATGACTCATTCATAAAGACAGAGTCACTGGCTTAGAGTCACTGGCTTAGTTTCTGAATGATTCAGGCATTTGAATGAATCAAGTGAGTCAATGATTCAATGACTCATTCATAAAGACAGTCACTTGCTTCATTACTGAACGGTCTTTTGGCGCCCCCTGTGTTCCTGTTTGGGATCGCAGATTGACTTGTGCTGTAAACTACTAAATGTAACGTAGAATTGTTCATTTTCTGTGAAGCTGCTTCGCAACAGTGTATCATGAAAAGTGCTATACAAACAAATGTGAATTGAATTGTAAACAATTATTGATTAATTTATTTATTTATTGTGGCACTATATACATTCATTGCGAATTATGAAAATTAAAAATTCCTTTTTTTTAGTATTTTAGTTTGTATTTATTTATTTTTGGTTGACTTGTTTTGTACTGCAAGCACTGATTGTGTATCATATGCACGCCAAAGTCAATTTCTGCGTATAAATCGCACGCCAAATAGAAACAGAAAATCGTGCTATACGCACTTTCATGAGACCGGGCTCATTTGTTTTTTTAAATGCCATATCTGTCACACGTTCTTAGCAGCTCACAATTATTTGTTGTGCCATAAATGTAACAAAAAAGTTTTTTAACAAAGTTAATGTTTGATGATACTTGTCTTTATTATTTACTTTGATTTATGGAGTAATGTGGATTTATTAACCTGATAAATTAAAGGATTTATGTTAAAATAACACAGAGCAATAACATATATTTTTACATCTATGCAAATGCATATGTAATATTTGTAACTTAAGTAAATGAACTTTTATAAAATAAAGAGACAGTTATTTAACAATATGTTAGTAACATTTGTACAGTCTTAAAGTTACAGTTACAACCGGCCCTTTGATGGCAGCCATAATGTTGAAGTAGCCCTCAGTGAAAATGAGTTTGACACCCCTGCTTTAGAGTATCATTTCATTTTAAAAGTCCTTTTATGTTTTAATATTTGTAAAAAAAAAAAAAAAATTTTTTTTATACCCATTTATTATTATTATTTCTAAAGCTATTTTTTGTAGTGTCAATTCAGTGCTTTTCTCATTTAACACAATAATGATTTTAAATGATCTTTGGGTGGGTAGTTTCTCATCCAATTGATGTGTAATTAATAGGCAATTAATTAGATGAATTAATCAACACGTCATGCCATTAATTACAGTCAAACCAAAATTTATTCAGACCCCTTCAACATTTCTCACATTATCACAGTTTATTCGCTATAGTTTAGAAAATTGTAATAAAATATGAACTCAGAGTTAAAGCGTGTTAGAACAAACTCATCTTGATAATGTCAGATAACTTTGATAGAAAGGTATGTAATGAATTGGGTTGAATAGCTGTCAGCTGTTAAATTTAATACACAATCAGATAAAACCAATTTAGCTCAACTAATTACCAAGCAGTGCTTCATTCTGTTCAGTCTGTGGTGTAAAAGATCACATTAGCAATTAAAGAAAAACACTTCAGCAAAACATGCTCAGCTCAAAGTGATTGAATAGTTTCTGATCCCAAATTTTACTGGTAGTCCACTGTATGAAGAATTGTTGGGTATAATATGTCACAGTTTACTTTGGGTATGATTTGTCACAGTTTACTTTATTTTGCTATCCTCACTTACATAAATGAACTATAGTGTCCTGCTCCCACTAGTAAAAACATATCAAAAATTATATCTGGTGTCTGAATGATTTGTGACTGTAGATTAGACGTGTTAAAGTAAGTAAGTAATGGCGAGCGTTCTCATCCTCAGGAGACGGAGCTGAGGAACGTAGAGCTGGAGTGTCAGCTGCTGGATCTGGAGCAGAGTCTGGAGAACCGGCGTCTGGAGAGAGAGAGCTTCAGGAGGAGTCTGCGCTCGCTGCTGGAGCTACTGGACCGAAAGATCTTCCAGCTGACCGAGCTACGAGACAGTCTGACCAAACTGATGGAGAGCGACAGCAGCTAGAGACGAGACGCTCATACACGCACAGAGAGAGACACACACACACACACAGAGAGACACACACACACAGACACACACACACACACACACACACACACACTCACTCACTCACTCACAGTTTTACACTGACTCCCTCTGGTCTCGGATCACACACAGACTGCTGATCCAGGAGATGTGTGATTACACAGAAAACCTCGCTGTGCTCTCTGACTCTTCACGTGTTTGGCTCACGCAGGTTTTCTATAAAAACGTCACAAACTGAAGATCCGATCCGGACGCGACAGCTGCGTTTATCTGCTACTCTTCCACTCTTGAACTTCCTCTGAACTCTGAGCAATACGAGCGAGAAACAGAATCAGGTATCTGACGTCTCACACGCACCTGCGAGGACACTTCGAGTCGCGTCTTTGCTTTCCGAACACTTTGAGGGGTTCGGTGCGCTGGTGACGGCACTGAGGTCACATCACACGCTTTCTTCTGGGGCTTTTAGCTCTTTATGAAGAGCAACGGTTTACTTCCGTCTGTATGATTTCTGGTTATTTATTGTAAAAAAAAACAACAATTATATCTGTATATTCTAATCACAGTGGCTGCATTAAGTAGTTATTTCAAGTATAAAGATGTTTGTTTTCATTTCTCGTTTTTTATTATTATTTGCAATGTGGAAATATGGTTGTTTTTTAATGTGGAGATAAACTGGCAATATTTTTGAACTCTTTGAGTATTTAAAAGGGAAACCATGCCATTAAATACGAGTTAATTTAGCAGAAAGCTGTTCTCTTGTACAGATGAAGTTGCCTTTGGTACTGAGATGCATCACGTGATCACGCTGAACCTCAAGGGCTCGCAGCAGTTAGATGGGCTTGTTTTTGACACACTGGATGGCTTTATTATTATTATTATGTTTGATTTATGAAACCTTTGAATAATTATTGAGAATATTGATTATTCCACTCACTTAAACACAATTGTAATTCTGAGTTTATAGTAAAATTAAAGAGTAAAAATGACCAACCGTGTTTTTCTCTTTGTGAATGTTTGTACTCCTGTGAAGAACATCATAGGAAACGGTATTCTGCGTAAAGAGCAGCTTCAGGATTGTTCTTCATTATTTTCATGGAACGTTCCTCATGTCTGTACTGTAAATGCCACTGTTGTTACTGTATCTGGACATCTGTTTATTTATTGTTTTTGGGTGAAATATGAGTCATGTGACTTCTGAAGACCTGGATAATGAGCTCCGATCACACGGACGCCGGTAATGAAACTGTGACGGTGAGGTTTGTATAAGAGCAGCTTGAACATTCGGCTGAACTTCTGCTTTTGTGTTCAACAGAAGGAAGAAAGTCCCACAGAATCAGCTGCATGACAAATACTGCAAAAAATATATTTTTGTCTCTTTTTTTAAAGTAAAAAATATCTAAACATTCATAGATCGAGATACGTTTACTGGAGAAGCAAAATAACTTAAGAAAATGAGTCTCATTTTTTTGAAAAATGCGGTAAGAAAAAATTGTTTCACCTTTGAATTTTGTTTTTCTGATCCCAGTTGCAGATTTTTTATTTTTATTAACATTACATTTTTTTCCCCTTCAGAAAACAAGACTTAATGTGTCATTTTGCTGCTCCGGTAAAGGTATCTTGATTTTAAAATGTTTAGATATTTATGCAAGACAAAAATACTAAGACAATCTTTTTTTTTTTGCAAGGTAGCTAGTAAACAAAGACAAAAACTTTTGTGACTGTGTAAATAATATCCAATAGAAATGATAAAATCACCTTAAAATGTTATATTTGCATTTTTTTCATAAAGTGACATTTTGCTTTTCAAGTAACATTTCACTACTTTCTTAGTGATGCTTTTTATCAGAACCTCAGAAATGGTCACATATGTGGTTTAATATCGCTTTCCAGAATAATATCTGATGGAAATGTTTCAACAGCAGATGAATATTCATGAGCTGATTGTGATGTCATCTGCATTTAGGATCTGACACGCCCACTGATGCCTGTAGCCCCGCCTCCAGCTGCTGTCATGACGATGATAGTCAGCTGATGCCACCCAGTGGTCAGACAGAGTCAGCGCAGCTCAATCTGATGATGATGATGAAGACGGTAACATCCACACAATAAAGCACCAAAGCAGGGGTTTCTTTCGAAACTTTATTTACGTAAAGGGGCAAAATGCAAATTCAAAATAACTATTCGGAGTACAATGTTTGGAAAAGCAGAGTAAAAGCAAACTGGAGATTCAAAAAAATCATTGTACATTTCATGATATTTCTTTAGATATTTAAATATTTAGTTGAACTCAATAAATACAGGTGTCCTGTGGGCAAACATGCGCTTTATTATACATCAGAAGGTCTGTTTTCAGTTTCTAATATAATATTGCACGTGTGGAAGCTGATTTTCACATCTCGCTGTCGCTCACGACTGTAGTGTTTAGACGGGTTTGATTGACGACGTAAAAATGCATAGAACGTACAGAACAATGAATATGATTCAAACAAACAATATCAAAAGCTAAATACAGTACATGTGATGAAAACACACACAGATGCGCGCCGCACGGCATCATGGGTAAACGCGGCTCGCGTGACGGTCAGATCTGAGACTGCAGGCGATGGTTCAGACGTCCACAGAGTCACAGACACAACGAAGCAAACGACTGGCGAGTTCATTCAGACCAAACCATGAGCTCCTGAAACATGCTTCTGTCCAAACACCAAGCAGCCGGATTTCAATGATTGTCTCTGCTGATGCATCATGGGACGAGTGCCGAAGCGATTCGGTGTTATTTTAACGTTATTCCAACGTTCTGGCGAGGTTATGAGTATAACGTTCTTCTAGTAATGTTATTAGAATGTTTCTTCAGTTCTGGTCTTTCTCAAAACATTATACATCGTTCAAGGAACGTTCCTCTTTAAGGTTACTGTTTCAGAGAACGTTAAAACGTAACGTTCCTGTAACGTTTGCAAAATGACAAAATGGAATGTTCCCTTAATATTCATACAAACGAGAAAATTTCATTTTAGAACATTACCAAATGTACAAGTTTTAATTAGAAAGTCGGCAAAATTATCTTAGAATATATATTTGTGTGTGTGTTAGGGATGTAACGATACAATATCGCGGTATGTAGTCCACGGTGCGATACTTATTGCGATATTTAAAAATGAACAACTGGAAACAAATGAAAATCTTGTACATTTTAAAGTTAAACTCAACCCTCTTTTTTTATTTGTGATATTCTGTCTCAGTCTAAATTACATTAACACTGGTGTTTTAGGAAGCCAAACAAATTAGAATATAATAATACTAATAATAACAATGACAGAAGTAGCCATATATTGTAAAACAACTGCACTGTAAAATAAATGAAAATGAATATTTCATCGGTATATTATTTGAAATGAATAATATTAATGAATTATATGAAATATAAAAGTACAATACTTCTTTCCTAATTTCTACACCTGAAAGAGATATTTAGAATTTAGACTGCATTTAAACCGCTAGCTGTCAGCAATTCATACGTCACTTAAGCTTTTATTTTGAAGCAAAGCTCCAGCTTCAGTGAAAACAGGCTTACAAAAACACAAACACGTCTCACTACAAATCTAGTGAAACGCTGTAATCATCTGCCGTGAAAATAAAGCTGTGTTCCCAAACGTGCGCTAAACTCACAGAACGTGTGATAAACGAGTTGTCTGCATTCATTCAGTGTGAACGAGTCGTTCTGAGATGCAGAAAACACCGGATCACGAGCTGATCGTCTGAACCAAGTGTTTGAAACACGCAGCAAAAACAGACTTGCTTTCGGTTTGAGTTCGTTTGACGGATACTGTGCCAAAGCATAATGCCCCCAAACACAACTTTAAATGCATTTCATGTTAGAATACGAAGTTTAAATACATATTTGAAAAACTACACTTTTTGCCCGGAAGACCTATCGTTTCATATCGTCATGTGACCACGATAATATCGAGATGGCACGTTTTGCCATCGTGATATTGATAATATCGTTACATCCCTAGTGTGTGTATATATATATATGTATTTTTTATTTTTTCTATTTTAATTTTAGTAATTTTTAAAATTATAATTTTTTAGTTAATTTTAGCAATTTTGCTTTATAAAATTTAGTTCTTTTAATATTACTATGTAGATTTAATTTGTTTAGACTTATTTATTTCCGCTTAATAATAGTGTTTTTCAATTAATTGCCAAGGCAACGTGTATTACTTTCATTTAGTTTAAGCTTTTTTTATGCAGTATTTATATTTTGTTTCAGTTTTTTATTTATTTAATAAGAATGTTTTTTGACATAGGCGTGATTAATTTCAGAGCTGGTTGGTTTGCATCAGAAGGTGATCAGGAGAACATGGAAACACATCTCGTATCTCCTCTGGCTTTCATATGTTAAGACAAAAAGAATAGAATAAAAGTAGATGAATGAGTAGTAAGTGGAATAAACGCTCCGGGCTGATGATCAGTGATCTGCTGTGAGGTAAACACACTCACACTCACACTCGCACTCGCACTCGCACTCGCACACGCACACGCGCGCACACACACACACACACAACGTCTCGTATCATACACAAAGACAAAAAGAAGAGAATAACAGTAAATGAATGAGTAGTAAGTGGAATAAACACTCAGAGCGGCCAGTGTTTCAGTGATCTGCGGTGAGGTAAACACACACACACACACACACTTCAGCTCTCCCAGTCGGCGCAGGCTGGCGTCTCGTCCTCAGACTCGGACTCAGACTCGGGTGAAGCCTCTTTGATGCGGCGCAGGGCCTCGTGGATGCTGCGGGTCAGCGGGTCAGACGCAGTCACTCCTCTGCAGCTGCGCTCCTGTCTGCGCACCTTACGCAGCTGCACTCCCTTACGGATCTGAGCTAGGATGTTGTTGTCGTCGTCCTCGTCCGGATCGGGCGCCAGAACACGCAGCTCGGCCTTCCGCAGGTGGAAGCTTCCGCGCTTCAGACTGGCCAGAACCTCATCCATCGGCGAGCTCGCTGAGGACACAACACACCGTTACTGGAAACACTGACTGCAGCTGTGTTTCCTAGCGGTGCTGGAATTAATCATTGCATCGATGCAGTAATACACCGTAATCTATTATAGCCTACTGACATCATTCGCGAGCATTAAAGGGATAGTTCACCCCAAAATGAAAATTCTGTCATTAATTACTCACCATCATGTCGTTCCAAGAACACAAATTAAGATATTTTTGATGAATTCCGAGAGCTCTCTGATCCTCTCATAGACAGCAAGCATCCAAACACCATCAAGGCTCAGAAACGTAGTAAAGACATCGTTAAAATAATCCATGTGACATCAGTGGTTCAACCGTAATTTTATTAAGCTACGCGAATACTTTTTGTGCACAAAGAAAACAAAAATAACAAGTTTTTTCAACAATTCGTCTCCTCCGCGTCACTCTATAGCGGCCTATTGAGAGTATCACATACATAACATATTTGTATAACGCTGTTTACATTGTTTGTGCTTTGATCTGAACGTAAACAACGTATCCGCGTACATACATTGCATATGTTGTTTATGTATGAGAGGGATCAGAGAGCTCTCGTAATTCATCAAAGATATCTTAATTTGTGTTCAGAAGATGAACGAAGATCTTACAGGTTTGGAACGACATGATGGTGAGTAATTAATGACAGAATTTTCATTTTTGGGTGAACTGTCCTTTTAAAAAAATGCACCCACTATTTTTAAATCTGAGATCTGGATAAGAAAAAAACCAAGCTTAGTGCAGGAAAAAAACTGGATTCTGAGCTTGGTTTTTCCCGCTTATGGCAGGTGTGCGCTAGAGACAATCGCGCCGGCTTCGTTGCACAGACTATGCGCTGTGAGACACGTGTGCATTGCTTGACTTCCGTTATTTCAGTGTTTTACTTTAGATATGCTTTCATTTCTGCCGTTTGGAATGCAGTACATATTAGATTCACAAAACTCACGCACTGACAGACTTTCTCGTGCGCTTTGTGTTTGTTTGTCCTGAAGCTCGATCACAGCTGCGGTTAAACACACTTGCATTGCTGAATACTTTATTGATACGAAATTGATGTAAACACAGTGAGTAATGTTTTCAGAACAGGAACATGTGGAAACAGATCTGTGCATTAGTGTGAAAGCAGCCTATTAAAGCTGCTGGAAAAAGAAAAACCCATAACTATGATTGTCTGTAAACTTTCGGATACTAAAAACACTTGTTTATCACTTGTAATTGTCTTTTTTCCCCTTTAATACTTTATATTTGTTGTATGTTTTAAAGCTATATTTACTTGCCTGCTTATAACATTTAAATTAAGTAAATTCTCCAAATCCAAGTCTCTCCTGTACAGATATTATAAACATATTATAAAATTATTTTTAAATTTGGTCATTTTTAACAAAAATGTACTTGTTAGAATTAAATAAATGAAGTTCTTTTATAATGAGAGTACACTGAAAGCTTTGAAAATAACTATAAATCAATCACTGCATTTTTTTCCCCAGACAGATGCAGCGGTAACAACAATATTTCATTTATAGATTTAACATTTGTAAATAAAAAAAAAATGCTGAAAATCTTTTAGACCTCCTTGTATTTAGGTTTTCATAATCAGTTTGAAAAAAAAAAATACTACACATTAATGAATAAATCTGTATGTATACAATTATTTGATTTACAAGTGTCATGTTTGTGATTTTTATTCATGCAAACTACAGCTTTTGACCTTTGAATAAAAATGTACTTGTGATTTTAGGACACAAATTACTGATTTATTTAATCAGGAACACAATCTAAATGTTATTGGTGTATTTTACTTGCATTTTATTACAAGTAGGCCAACAGCGCCCCCTAAGTAGTTGTTGCGTTGTATGTTTTATGCGATATTCAAATTTTGTGCATAAGTTACATTCAGTGTTGGGGAAAGTTACTTTTAAAAGTAACGCATTACAATATTGAGTTGCTCCCTAAAAAAGTAACTAATTGGATTACTTACTTTTTATGGAATGTAATGTGTTGCGTTACTTTTGTGTTACTTTTTCTCATCTGGGCTGGGCTTGCTTGTATGTTTTTAATATTTTTAAAAAGTTATATTTTTGGCATGAATAAGCCTCAAGCTGAAGGAAATGTAAATTCAATTATTAACATATTTAATTATTGCAGGTTTGCGTCACATTCTGAGTTTGCATTTGACTGTTTTTATTGACTGTGAGGAACACTGAATGTGTTTGTGTGCAGTGAGATGAGTAAACATGTTCATATTTAGTCTAGAACTACAGTAAGATATTACACCTAATATTTTTATTTGAAGTACCCCTGAGATTTTAAAATAAATATTTTAATAATGAAGTATCACTTTTGCATGTTCATGGTTCTGTGGCATTGGTTAATGGTCACATGACATGCAGGTAAACAAATAAAATATATCATTTTTTTTCAGTAAGTGTTTTATTTTATTCATTTTAAAATTGTTTTAATTTAACATTTTTATGATATAATTATTAGCTATTCATTAAACTCATAAACCCCCTATTTCCATCACAAACCCCAGTTTGGGAAACCGTAATGTAATGTTTAATGCACTTCGTGTTGTTGATAACAACAAATTGAATATATTTTCTTCATATGTTTATATAAATATGGTAGAGATTAGTGCTGTCAAACGATTAATCGCGATTAATCGCATCCAAAATAAAAGTTTTTGTTTACATAATATATGTGTGTGTACTGTGTACATTATGTATATATAAAGACACAAACATACAGCATATATTTAGAAATATTTACATGTATATATTCACATGATTTATATTATATATAAATATATTTAATATATAAACGTAACATATTTTTCTTAAATATATACATGCATGTGTGTGTATTGTGTATATATACATAATAAATATACACAGTACACACACATATATTATGTAAACAAAAACGTTTATTTTGGATGCGATTAATCGCGATTAATCGTTTGACAGCACTACTTGAAATAAGTAATCTGATTACATAACTCAACAAGTTACTAGTAATGCGTTACCCCCCCAACACTAGTTAAATTCGCAACTTTGGATGGAAGCTGCGTTTAACCCTGTGTGCGTCTCACCTCTCCTCCACTGGTTGGACTCGAGCGAGGCCGTCTTCCTCAGCTTCTTCCTGGCGTTGAGCAGCTGGCTGCTGTCGAAGAAGCGTGCGGTGAACGGCCCGAGGGGAGAGCGAACAGGGCTGGCGTCTGCAGGCGTCTCCTCCAGAGAGGGAGGAGGAGGAGGAGGAGGAGGAGGAGGAAGAGGAGGAGAGGTGGACGAGTCCAGCAGCAGCAGCTCTCTGGCCGGAGGAAGTGATGCGTGTGCGTCAGGGGGCGGGGCTTCGGCCACGGCTCCGCCCATCGGAGGCAGCGACAGGAAGGTCTCGGGCCGGCGCAGCTCTGGCACTCCTGCCGAATGTTCCAGTGCAGCCGGAGCGTCATCCGTCTGCACGCTAGCGGCCTGCGTCTGCGTCTGCTCCGGCTCGGCGCCCGCTCTCTTCCTGGAGTACGCCAGACGCAGACGAGTGGACTTCAGAGTCACCTGACCCGGGTAGCGCTGCGGAGACCAATCAGCACACAGCCAGTCAAAGCTACAGGATTTTAATGTGCTGAAGATGTTCTGTTAATACATTTTGAGTCAAACAATAAGCACTAGCAGTGTTATCTTGTTACTTTTACTAGTACCTATTAATATATTGAACATTTTTATTAGTTTTTGTTTCTCTGTTTGAGAGTTCAGATGCAAAAGCCTCTAAGTGCCGTCTGAAATGTTCTTCTAATATTAGTCATTTTCTCAGGCTCCTATGTTTATCTTCAGCTATTTCACTTTAATGGCAAAGAAAAGAACCAATTTATGGCTATTAAAGTGAAATTACTGAACCTACACAGAAGCCTGATAAAAATGCTCATTTTAGAAGAAAATTTCAAGTGGCACTTAAAGGCTTTTGCATCTGAACTCTTCATTTAGATGTTTTTATTTTAGTAATTTCAGTATTTTAGTAAGCTTGGTAATTTAACTTAAATGAAAGTTAGCAATGTTGTCTTGCCAACCAAAATTAAATAAGTTTAAATTAGGTTTTGCGTAATTTCAAGTAACAAAAACTATTTCAAGTGCTTTTTTCTTTTTCAATTTATTTGCAGCTTTTATTAGTTATTATTTTTTTGATATTTTCTATTTAGGTTTATTTATATTTTAGTTCAGTTCTTCAGTTACTTCAATTTTGTTTAGTTGCCAAGGCAACATTTCTTATTTTTGTTTAGGTTTTTAAGTTTTTCATCTAATATTTATAATCAATTTTATTTTAGCTTCATTTCAATTCTAAGTGCTTTTGTCATTTTTATTAGTTTTTTGGAGTTTTTATATTTCTGTTTTGCTTCATTTTCATTAATTGTAGTTATTTTCTTTAGTCATTATTCTTTATTTTAGTAATTTTAGTACTTCAACTTATTTTATTTTACTTAGTGGCCAAGGCAACATTTCTAAAGTTTTTTTTTCCTAAAGTTTTTTCTAATATAATTTTCATTTTATTTCAGTTTAATTTCACTTTAAAAACTATTTTTGAAAGCATAAGTTTGGTTTGAAGGCAAGCAGTTTAATATTTAATATTAATATTTTATTTCAGTTTTATAAGAAAATGATTTTTAAAGTTTTAGAAGAGACTGTATTCACAAGAAGCAAACGAAGACGTGATTGAGTGAATCAGACGGATCTGAGTCAGTCCAGTAGTTTCTGCAGGTAGTGCTGTATGATTATGATGCTGTGATGTGAGTGTTTCTCGTGTGTTCGAGTGTGATTTCTGTGTTCTCAGATGCAGTCGAGCGTCTGACCTGTCTGAAGCTGCGCAGTCGGTCCAGTGTCCTCTGTCTCTCCTGACTGACCCTGGACAGCCGCTGCTCCTCTTCCTCCTCTTCATCCTGCACACACAGGTGATTAATGTGAGATCAACATGTGATTCATCATCAGCATTACACTGCTGTTTAGACTCGCACCTGCAGCAAAGCTTCCGGACCGCCCTGCCGCTGCTGCAGCTTCTGTGTGTGGTTGATGATGCAGATTTCCTGAGAACGAGAACGAAACGAGACGTCAGAACTGTTAAACTGAGACGGATAACGGGAGCATTGTGTGGCAGGTGCTGGTGTTCTCAGTGTTGTCAAAATAAAGTCCTGCTTCTGACATATCGGGCAAACCAAAAAAATGACTGGCCCATGCCAATAATTAAAAAATGCCAAATATTGGCCAAACAGAAAAAAATTAACCGCTAACAATAATTAAAAAATACCAAATATTGGCCAAACAGAAAAAAAATGAACCGATAACAATAATTCAAAAATGCCAAATATCGGCCAAACAGTAAAAAATTCACCGATAACAACAATTAAAAAATGCCAAATATCGGCCAAACAGTAAAAAATTCACTGATAACAATAATTCAAAAATACCAAATATTGGCCAAACAGAAAAAAAATGAACCGATAACAATAATTAAAAAATGCCAAATATCGGCCAAACAGAAAAAAAATTGTTAGTCAATGCCAATAATTTAAAAATGCCAAATATTTGGCAAACAGAAAAAAATTAACCGATAACAATAATGAATAAATGCCAAATATCGGCCAAACAGAAAAAAAATTGTTAGTCAATGCCAATAATTTAAAAATGCCAAATATTTGGCAAACAGAAAAAAATTAACCGATAACAATAATGAATAAATGCCAAATATCGGCCAAACAGAAAAAAATTAACCGCTAACAATAATTCAAAAATACCAAATATTGGCCAAACAGAAAAAAAATGAACCGATAACAATAATTAAAAAATGCCAAATATCGGCCAAACAGTACAAAATTCACCGATAACAACAATTTAAAAATGCCAAATATCGGCCAAACAGTAAAAAATTAACTGATAACAATAATTCAAAAATACCAAATATTGGCCAAACAGAAAAAAAATGAACCGATAACAATAATTAAAAAATGCCAAATATCGGCCAAACAGAAAAAAAATTGTTAGTCAATGCCAATAATTTAAAAATGCCAAATATTTGGCAAACAGAAAAAAATTAACCGATAACAATAATGAATAAATGCCAAATATCGGCCAAACAGTAAAAAAAATTGTTAGTCGATGCCAGTAAATACAAAATGCCAAACAACAGCTAAGCAGAAAAAATTGTTAGTCAATGCCAATAATTAAAAAATGCCAAATATCGGCCAAACAGGAAAAAGTTACTGGCCGATGTCGATAATTAAAAATAGACAAATATCGGCCAAACAGAAAAAAATTAACAGACGGCGATAATTAAAAAAAATCGCAAATACTGCCCAAACAGAAAAATTAACTGATAATGATAATAAAAATGCCAAATATAGCACAAATAGAAATACAATTATTTACCGATGCTGATCATTTAAAAAACTGCCGGATATCACCCAAACACAGAAGATAATTAATTTTGAAAATGTCAAATATCAACAAATATATCAGCCTTGGCAATAAATCGGTCGACACTACATGACACTGACTACGTTTACATGAACATCAGTAATCTAATTATTTACCTTATTCTGAATAAGCCAATATTATGATTTTTATGCTTTTAGAATATTCCTTTCATGTTCCCGTTTTACATGTTATAGTACATAGATCGATGAATGGCACACGTCATTACGTCCACACGTGACGCCATCCGACGTCCAACCCAGAATTTCACCATTTACAGTTTTGGGCGTTTCATTTTTAATTTTACGAAAGCTTCAAGTGCAGTTCATTATTTGTCATGCTATATGTGCAAACAGACGACGGCGGTGTTGCTCTTTTGTTTGCCGTCATACGGTTGAGCACTGCCGTGTGTGTATCCTGCTGCAAAATGCGGCGAAAAGTCCTACACGACGGTAATAGTGTGATTAAGGTGTGTACATGTCTATACGGCACTTCAATAATGCGATTAAAATAGGAATCCTCCACATGACTTAATTCGATTTGTGTTTACTTCGATTATGACTTTAGCCGGATTAAGGTAATCAAAAATCTCTGTTTACATGGTAGATTCTTAATCAGAGTATTGTCTTGATCGTGTTAAAATCGGAATATTGTTGTCCATGTAAACGTACTGACTGATGTTTATATTCTGATCAGATGTTTGCGGCTCTGATACCTTCTTGTGTTTGAGGTAGGCTTTCTTGGCGGTGATGCGTCCTCTGCGGGCCTCCAGCTGTCTGGTCCTCTGCTGGAGTTTGGCCATGTCTTCTCTGGGGGGGGTCAGAGGGGTCGAGGGGTCGTCGGTGGCCTTCATGGCGTCAGGACTCTCGTAGGTGTCGTAGTAAACCACCTCCTCCTGCCTCTCTGCAAACACACACACAGAGTCACACACAGATGACGGCTTAATTTCTGCTTGACGGCTTGGGACACTTAACTTCCAGCGATATCCTCGACTTGATTGCACAGATACTATCTGAACTGAACTGAGCTGGATGATGACATCACTGAATCAATGATGAACTGCCTTTAACTGAGTGTTTACTGTTGTCCTTTTGCATTATTGACACACTATCTTCCTATTTAATACTGTAAAGTTGCTTTGACACAATCTGTATTGTTATAAGCGCTATATAAATACAGGTGACTTGACTTGAGTTCCGGAGTGCAGACGCTCACCGCTCATCTGTCTGCGCAGACTCTGCAGCTGCGCCGTCAGCAGCAGCTCCTCGTACTTCAGGATCTCGAACTGGATCTCGTAGAGCTGCAGCTGGAGCTCATAGTACATGGCCTCCAGCTGGTCCAGACGCACCATGGCCTCCTCGCCCCCCTGCAGACCCTGCATCTGCAGACACACACACACAGACCGCAGGTGACACACACACGCAGACCACAGGTGACACACACACATCTGCGCACTTACACCTACAGCGTGTTCACTGAAACCCTGTGATGCAGCGCTAGTGATGACACGCTTAATGCTGTTTTATATGAGTGTGTGTGTGTTTGTGAGAGAGTGTGTGTGTGTGTGTGTGTGAGAGTGTGTTCTGTGTGTGTGTGTGTGTGTGTATGTGTGTGTGTGTATGTGTGTGTGTGCATATATCTGTGTGTGTGAGTGTGTCTGTGTGTGTGAGAGTGTGTGTGTATATATCTGTGTAAGTGTGTGTGTGTGTGAGTGTGTTCTGTGTGTGTGTGACAGACAGACAGAGTAGAGTACAGTAGAGTACAGTAGAGCAGAGCAGAGTACAGTCGAGTAGATCAGAGTAGAGTACAGTAGAGCAGAGTAGAGTACAGTAGAGCACAGTAGAGCAGAGCAGAGTACAGTAGAGCAGAGCAGAGTACAGTAGAGTAGATCAGAGTAGAGTACAGTAGAGCAGAGTAGAGTACAGTAGAGCACAGTAGAGTACAGTAGAGCAGAGCAGAGTACAGTAGAGTACAGTAGAGCAGAGCAGAGTACAGTAGAGCAGAGTAGAGTACAGTAGAGTAGAGCAGAGTACAGTAGAGTAGAGTACAGTAGAGTAGAGTACAGTAGAGCAGAGTAGAGTACAGTAGAGCAGAGCAGAGTACAGTAGAGTAGAGCAGAGTACAGTAGAGTAGAGTACAGTAGAGTAGAGTACAGTAGAGCAGAGTAGAGTACAGTACAGTAGAGTAGCGCAGAGCAGAGTACAGTACAGTAGAGTAGAGCAAAGTAGAGTAGAGTACAGTAGAGCAGAGCAGAGTAAATCAACGTTTGACTCTAAGATCCTCACAGTATCTCTGATACTTCTCCTAGAATGACAATTTAATTTCCAGACTTTTTTTTAACTGAAATTAGGAGTGGCATTATTGTAAAATTATTAAATAAAATAATTATAAATTATTAAATTACATAAATACATGCTAGGGTTGCATGATACATTGTTTCAGCATTGAAATCGCGATGTGCTCATGCGCAATAGTCACATCGCAGGAGGTGTGATGCAGGGCCAAACATATACATATTATCGTGTTTGATTCAAAAGAAAAAAACTCACATGGTTCTATATTTGCCTGATATAAAGTAATTAATTCTGATTTAAGGGTCCTTAAAAAACTAATAACAAAGCAGATGTTTGTTGCCTCATGTTTTTACATGCAAAAAACTATGTTGGATGCATTTGCCAGTGTTACACCACATGAGAAGCGAGAGAAAGATATCACTGATGCGAAAGACATGGTGCCAATCCTCTTTAGTGTAGTGCTGTGTTTTAACCTGGAAAATATATACAGTGCTGGCCAAAATTATTAGAACACTAGTATTCCCAGCAGCTAAAAATGGTTTTAAGTCAGTTATTTCTATCTTTTTCTGTAGTGTGTCAGTAGGAAATATCCGTTTACATTTCCAAACATTCATTTAGCCATTAATTGTAATAATGCAGTGAGATATATGTTTGTGCTGCACACAGAGATCTGATCTCTCATCATCAGTCTGCTGGAGTCACATGAAGAAACAGAACAAACTGAGACAGATTCAATCCAGAAGAACTGATGCTTCACCTACCTGCAAAGCTCCAGTACTGTTAAAGGTTTTAGGCACTTGTGTAAAAATGCTAGATGCTGTCAAATATAATGTAATTTATCAATCAACTTCTATTAACTAAATCAAATCAACATTTGGTGTGAGCATCCTTTGTGTTTAAAGCAGCTTTTGCTCTCGGTGCACTTGAGCAGAGTTTCTCAGGAGCTTTGCAGGAGCTTTCTTGAAGCATCGGTTCTTCTTGAGTCTGCCTCAGTTTGGCGGTCTCACCTTTCTGAGCGCGAGCCGTGGTCTCGAAGTATTTGACGGTCAGGTCCTGTATGGAGAGCACAGCAGTGTGAGCCTTCCTCTGCCAGTCCTCATCCTCCCTGCGCAGAGATTCGACGCGCCGCGGCCCCAGACGCTCCGTCTCCAGAGAGATCTCACACACACACACACACACACACACACACACATACACACACAGTCCTGAGAGAGTCACGTCATGCTTTAAATATCCTGATCACACTGCCGCCCAGCGCACATGAACATGATCTGATGATGTCAAATGTACACTGATGTTCAGAAAACAAACTGAAGTTCAAACAAGCATTTCAAATGTTAGTTCACTCATAAATGATCATTCTGTCATAATTTCCTCGCCCTCATGTCCTTATAAACCTGCTTCTGTCATCTAAGAATCAGATGAGGAGTCATTCAGTGCTCTCACGTACAGTAAATCCCTGTTTGGACTGAAGATTCAAACACAATGCTTTATTCTCAGGATCTTCTGAGGCTATATGATGCTTTATGAAAAGCAGATATTTTCAATAAAGCGTTCTGAAGATTCCTTCACAACTCTGACTGATCTGGATCTTCAGTTCAACTCACTGATTCATGATTTTCTCACAGCCGTGAACAACTCACTGAATCAGAACAATATCTGATGCTCAGACACTCTTTTTAAACCAATTAATTTTTATCTGTGATTTACTGGAACAGGACTTTAAAATATATTTATACTCACAATTACCTACTTGATCAAATATTTTAGAGCTTGGCAGAACTAGAAAAATGGATATTTATAATAAAAATGTTCACGTCGCTTTTAGCTTTAATTAATTGATGTGAATTTTCCAGCAACAAAAATCACACTTTCAGTCAAAAAATGTTAATAATTAATAATTTAATAATTATTAATTTTTGTAGTGTTTCTGAAAAAAAGGTATTTTCTGCTCCCTGAGGCTACATTTATTATACAGTAAAAATACAGTAAAAACAGTGAAATATTATTACAGTTTAAACTAGCTCTTTTCTATGTGAATATGTGTTAAACTGTAATGTATTTCTGTGATGCGCAGCTGTATTTTCAGCATCATTACTCCAGTCTTCAGTGTCACATGATCTTCAGAAATCATTCTAATATGCTGCTTTGCTGCTCAAGAAACATTTCTGATTATTATCAATGTTGAAAACAGTTGTGCTGCACAATATTTTTGTGGAAACTGTGACACATTTTATTTTTCAGGATTCACAGATGAACAGAAAGTTCAAAAGAACAGCATTTATTTGAAATAGAAATCTTTTGTCTTTACTGTTGCTTTTGATCAATTTAATGCATTCTTGCTGAATTAAAATATTGACTTCTTTGATAAGAACAGTGCTTAATCTAAACTCTGCTTGTTTGGTCTTGTTTTCAGTGATTGGCTCGTGCCGCTGATCTACGAGACTCTTCTGACCGTCAGCAGGACGTCCGGACTCTCGTGCGTCTGCGTCTCGTCACGTCTAATTCATGTATGGAAATGCGATACCCACACTGCACCTCTCTGATCACATGACATTCGACCTGGGCATCCCATAATGCCTCAGTCACTCATTCATCTCCTCATGCATTCATTTATTGCTTCGCTCGCTGCCCATATGTTCATTTTACACACTGCTGTGTGTGCGTGTGTGTGAGTGTGTGTGTGAGAGAGAGTGTGTGCGTGTGTGTGTGTGTATGCATGCATTTATATGTGAATGTGTGTATGAGTGTGTGTATGTGTGTGAGAGAGTGTGTGTGCGTGTGTGTGAGTGTGTGTGTGAGAGAGAGTGTGTGCGTGTGTGTGTGTGTATGCATGCATTTATATGTGAATGTGTGTATGAGTGTGTGTATGTGTGTGAGAGAGTGTGTGTGCGTGTGTGTGAGTGTGTGTGTGAGAGAGAGTGTGTGCGTGTGTGTGTGTGTATGCATGCATTTATATGTGAATGTGTGTATGAGTGTGTGTATGTGTGTGAGAGAGTGTGTGTGCGTGTGTGTGAGTGTGTGTGTGAGAGAGAGTGTGTGCGTGTGTGTGTGTGTATGCATGCATTTATATGTGAATGTGTGTATGAGTGTGTGTATGTGTGTGAGAGAGTGTGTGTGCGTGTGTGTGAGTGTGTGTGTGAGAGAGAGTGTGTGCGTGTGTGTGTGTGTATGCATGCATTTATATGTGAATGTGTGTATGAGTGTGTGTATGTGTGTGAGAGAGTGTGTGTGCGTGTGTGTGAGTGTGTGTGTGAGAGAGAGTGTGTGCGTGTGTGTGTGTGTATGCATGCATTTATATGTGAATGTGTGTATGAGTGTGTGTATGTGTGTGAGAGAGTGTGTGTGCGTGTGTGTGAGTGTGTGTGTGAGAGAGAGTGTGTGCGTGTGTGTGTGTGTATGCATGCATTTATATGTGAATGTGTGTATGAGTGTGTGTATGTGTGTGAGAGAGTGTGTGTGCGTGTGTGTGAGTGTGTGTGTGAGAGAGAGTGTGTGCGTGTGTGTGTGTGTATGCATGCATTTATATGTGAATGTGTGTATGAGTGTGTGTATGTGTGTGAGAGAGTGTGTGTGCGTGTGTGTGAGTGTGTGTGTGAGAGAGAGTGTGTGCGTGTGTGTGTGTGTATGCATGCATTTATATGTGAATGTGTGTATGAGTGTGTGTATGTGTGTGAGAGAGTGTGTGTGCGTGTGTGTGAGTGTGTGTGTGAGAGAGAGTGTGTGCGTGTGTGTGTGTGTATGCATGCATTTATATGTGAATGTGTGTATGAGTGTGTGTATGTGTGTGAGAGAGTGTGTGTGCGTGTGTGTGAGTGTGTGTGTGAGAGAGAGTGTGTGCGTGTGTGTGTGTGTATGCATGCATTTATATGTGAATGTGTGTATGAGTGTGTGTATGTGTGTGAGAGAGTGTGTGTGCGTGTGTGTGAGTGTGTGTGTGAGAGAGAGTGTGTGCGTGTGTGTGTGTGTATGCATGCATTTATATGTGAATGTGTGTATGAGTGTTTGTATGTTTGTGAGAGAGTGTGTGTGTGTGTGTGTGTATGCATTTACATGTGTATGTGTGTGCGTGTGTATGCATGTATTTATATGTGTATGTGTGTATGAGTGTTTGTGTGTGTGTGAGAGAGTGTATGTGTGTATGAGTGTTTGTGTGTGTGAGAGAGTGTGTGTGTGTGTATGTATGTATGCATTTATGTGTATGTGTGTATGAATGTTTGTGTGTGTGTGTGAGAGAGAGAGAGAGTGTGTGTGTGTGTGTGTGTGTGTGTGTGTGTGTGTATGCATTTATATGTGTATGAGTGTTTGTGTGTGTGAGAGAGAGTGAGTGTGTGTGTGTGTGTATGTATGCATTTATATGTGTATGTGTGTATGAGTGTGTGTGTGTGTGTGTGTGTATGCATGCATTTATATGTGTAAGTATGTGTTTGTTTACACTATAAAAATCCCTTAATTCACAGAAAACACATGCAAATGTGAGCACACAGTATTTGCATGTGTTTTTGTGTGAATGATGAGGGGTTTCATAGTGTCACACACACACACACACACACACACACACACACACACACACAGAGAGAAACCTGAATTGTCAGTTTGTCAGGTAAACTGTAGAAACAGAGCGAGAGGGTCATTTGCATACAGGTGTTGTGTGTGTGTGTGTGTGTGTTTGTAAACTCTCAATGAAGTGCTGAGTCATGACACTGGTTTAGAGTCACACACACACACGATTCTCTCTTTGTCCACCCTTAATGTGATTAGAGCGGGGGCTCATGGGAAGCAGTGGTCGCTATGACAGCAGTAGGTTGTGTGTGTGCGTGTGTGTGTGTGTGTACCTTGATCTGCTGTCTGCGCAGCATGGCTAACTCGCGCATGTCTCTGAAGGGCTGCAGCAGATAGTGGTAGAGCTCAGTCGTGGCCTCCACCAGAACTCCATACGCCTCGTCCTGCTCCGCATATAGCTGCAGCAGCTCCACCATCCGCTCCACGCCGCGCTGCTTCTCCAGCAGCTGCACACACACACACACACACACACGTCTCAAATGCAATAAACAGCACAGATATATTCGCTGTTTGCGATGGTGGATCGATTTGATCCGTGATCGACTTTAAGAATAAGCTGCACATCAAATGATCTTGACTCACTGAACCTGGATCAAATGAGTGAGATTGCGTGAACTTAAATTGTCGTTTATGAAACCGCTTTAGTCCTGATTGATTTGTTAGGTTATTTCAGGTCAGGTTTGGGAGTTTAATCCCCGCTTTTCTTAGCGTCTTTTATGAAACAGCCCCCAGGTGCAGTAAGTGATTTCAGAGAAACACTGTTGATATTTGAAATCAACAAAACAAACACGCTCCTACCTCAAAGAATCCCGCCCCTATCGTGATAGCTCTGCCCACAAATTCACACACATGCTATGGAATACAGGCACCTCCCCCGTCCTGAGTGGACACGCCCCTTACTGCTGATTGGCTAGAAGTGTGTTTTGTGCTCGGTCTGATCCACTTTCAACAGCGTCTCTCAGAAATGCCTTACTGCACCTTTAGTGTTTGAAAATGTAGAAACTAAGACAGCTTTAAACCGTAGTATAAAATAATAATTGATAATATTATTTTTCTTAAATACTAATTTTATTATTTTTATTATTATAATTTTTATAACTGAGTTTGGCCAAATTGTTTAGGCCTACAAACAAGCACATTTTAAATTGCAATCACAATTTTTATCAGAAAAAAATTATGTTTTCAGCACTTACTAACAGAGTCAATACTTACATAAGCAGCCAATGTGATTGAGCGAGAACCAGGGTTATTATCGTTAACTAATAACTAAAACTATTATAAAACATTTCTGTTAACTGATATAAAGCTTAAATAAAACATGAATATTACATGAAAAACAAACTAAATGAAAATGAGACATTTTGCCTTGGCAACTGAAACAGGTTTAAGTTGAAGCATTAGCTAAAAAAAAAGCTAAAATGACTTACTAAAAATAAATAAACTAAAACAGAACTAAAGCTAAATCTGAAATTAGATCATAGTAAACTTAAAAAAAGTCATAACTGAGAAAAAAAGCAAAAACTACTACTTATTAAGATACTTGTTATCTTTTGTCTGTCTCAGGAAGTGAAATAAGACGAGAGAGAAAACTATTTGAGTCACACGTCAGTTCACACACACACACACACTCTCTCACATACACACACACACACACACACACACACACACACACACACTGGTCTTTGTGCAGTCAGTACAGTCAGTAAATGACTCGTCGTGATGCTGGTGACCAGTGTGCTCAGATCCTCATCATCATCACACACACACTCACTCACACACACACACACACACACACACACACACACACACACACACACACTGGTCTTTGTGCAGTCAGTAAATGACTCGTCGTGATGCTGGTGAACAGTGTGCTCAGATCTTCATCATCATCACAGGTTTGTTTTTGTGAAAAGTGGGGACATCCCATAGGCGTAATGGTTTTTATACTGTACAGACCGTATATTCTATTGCCCTACACCAACCCTACCCCTAAACTACCCCTTACAGGAAACTTTGTGCTATTTCAGATTTTCAATACACTCCATTCTGTGTGATTTATAAGCGTTTTGAAAAGTGGGGACATGGGGTAATGTCCTGAAAAGTCA